CGAAGAAGAAGAAAACTCCTTCGAGAAAGAGTATTAAGTCAAGTATTAAAAAACAAAACCTTCTGTAATATTAACTATCATTTATACAATTAGGAACAGTTATTCATGTTAAAAATATAAAATATACAAAATATTTAATAGTATCAAAAACTTGTAAAAAAATAAAAAAATTTTCTTGTAGGGTATTTTGTTATATTACAATTTTGCTTCTTTTTAGCTACATTGATGTCCCAGTTCTATGCTCAAATTGTGTTAGACCTTGCTGAGAGAGTATAACAAGCAGCATTGGGATTGAAATTTTGAAAATTGCTGCTGGGATTGCGGGAATGTTGTTTGTGTGCCCTCCCTGGAACCACCTCCTCTGTATCGGGAGTATAAAGTGTAGTAATTTTCTACTTGGCTCTCCGCTTTGCGCTGCGCTGCCGCCTGGCAAAAATTGGTTTGAAAGTTGACTCGCTTTCCAGTGTTTTTCATGTAATCACATGGCCATTCCCCACACCAAAGCACCTCCCACCTCCCACCACCCACTACCCACCTCCCATCGAAGGGGTAAGCAGCCGAGCAGTAAATCGCGCTGACTGCTGCAAATGTCCGGCATCAGCATCCCGCTTAGAATTCCCAAACCGGGCTTTGTCTCTTGCAGAATCTCCGTTCCCTTTTGCTCTGCTCTGCTCCACGCCCAGGGGGCAGGTCCGATCGGTCCGATTAATGCCTCATCATTTGCAGCGGGAAAGCGGAAGAGCAGGAAAGCGGGACAGCGGGAAAGCGGGAAAACGACGCAAATTATCCGACTTCGACAGGGCGTGCCAGCCAAGTCAATCGCCTTCGATTGTCTGCGTCGAGTGATGTGGTGTGCGTCCCAGTCCCGAGTCTCATTTGGCCTAATGGCTGCCAGGATGAGTGCCAGCGAAAAGTGGATTCCGCCTCCTTCCTTAATTCGTAAGATGAATCCATTCACTGGATGCATGTTGATCATATTTAACTTGGAAAAATACTAAAGGATGCAGTAATGAGAGCCAGGAAAAGAAATATATATCCCATTTATTTTAGCTAGAAGTCTACAACAGCAAAGTGAAAAATATTTAAATATATAAATATTAAATATATTTAAAATATTTATTTTAAATTGGTTTTTCCAGATTTTCCTCTGAAATATAATTTATATTACATCCAAACCAGAAGCTACCTTTTGATTTCCCAGTTTTGTTTTCCTTCTAATCCTGGCTTTATACCCTGTCTACACAAAAGTGTGTTTGGGCGTTTTCTGAAAGACTTGAGGCCACCGCAAAAGTAAATCAAATAGGCCGCAAAAATATCATACAAATATCATAGGCATAGCCCACCCATAAACTGCCAGTGCAATATTATGATGGTGTCGATTACCCAAACAGACAGCCACGAGTCACTGACACGTGACCGGGGATATAGCTTTCTCGAGAGGATGTTGCTCCAACGAAAACTGGCTGTCGAGTAATCCCCTGCATAATGTTGCCTAAATGCGAGCGCGTGTCAAGCTCAACTCGCAAATAGCCCAGGTCTGCAGATAGATTTTAGTTCAGCACAGGGAAAAATATGTTTATATTTAAAAATGTTGAAATAAAATGGGAGGAAATTTTAATAATATATATCAAACTTAAATTTCTAGGATACTAATTTTTATTAATTTTTTTTTAAATGGCTTAAGCAAACAAATTAAAAATTAAATCGTTTTGTTCTGTTGGTTAAATTTTTTTTGAATATTATTATAATTTTATAAAAAAAAATATATTGATTTTTCTTAATTAAATTAATGTTCTTAAATTATGTGTAGGCCATTGGCATATGCCCATTAATACCAGCAGAATTCTCCGCTTTTTCGCTGTGCAGTCTTCCGTCTTCAGGGTTATCCAGAAGCCTCTTGGAGCTGCCGATCTCTGGCAGACTTCTCTCCAAATCTGCCGACGTCAAAATGCAGGGACCAACTCTTTTTCAGCGGCGGCTCAAACTCAAACTCAAACGGAGGCCGCCATTGTGTGCTGGGGCCAAAGCCAAATGATGTGCCAAACTGACACTTGCCGATACACAGATACGGCTACTCAAACACCATTAAGGCGGGTGTTGCATATTTGGTGGGGGTAGGGATTTACAATATATATGTGCCTACATATGAAGAGACGGGGGTTCCAATGGGGCATTGGCATATTCCTGTTGATATTTGCCCGAATGATTGTTAGTTTTATTTTATTTTGTGACAATTTCAGCAGCAACAGCAGGAAATAATAAAAATGCAAACAAATCGTTAGATTTTCCTATTGAAGTGTTTTCTCCCCCTCCCCCGTCACCAACTGTTTGTTTGTGTGTGAGTGCCTGTGGTTGTTGTTGGTGTTATTGCCTTTTGTTGCCCGTGTCGGTGTTGCTGGTGTCGTTGGGAATGTTGTTTAGACGCACAGTGGGACGATTAGGAGCAGTGGAAAAAAAACAACAAAAATTGTGCATTCAAGGAATTTAAAATTTAAATTGACAGAAGTTAAATTAATTAATTTACTATCAATTTTAAACATTTTTTCTTTAGCTTTTTAAATGTGTAATATAAATTTTTGATAGCAATATAAATATAACAATTATTGCCATATCTTCAAGCTCAAATCTGCTTTCCAAAATCAGCTGACATTAAATGCTGAACGATCAGCAAATGTAACAAAGATTAATTGAATTATATCTGAAAGTAACCTGTCCGCTTTAAATTAATAATAAATTGCAATACACTTTTAGATATCGATCGGCATAAACAAAGTAAACGGAAACACCTAAATGTGTTCATGTAATCATTAAACAAATATTGGCGATAAAAAAATCCGGAAGCGTCGATCAATTAGTACCAGATTTATGAGCAATGGAAGTTTGAATCCGGCCCACTGTTGCGATGATGATGATGACGTTTGGATGCTGCGATATCAGAGGCTGAGACGATGGACCCCAAGAGCTGAGAACCGAACTGAAGCCCGGCAATTTGTGCAATTTTTCTTGTTTAGATTGTTTTCGGTGTTTGCGTTGTCGCCGGGCTGTGTGTTTGGTTTTTATGCCTGCGATAAGCCCGCACACTGCCCATAACCATTCTCATATTATTTGTAAGGATTTTTGCATTTATTGCCAGCGCTTTCAAGGATTTCCGAGCCCAAACAGAGACCCAATACCACTGGCAATCCCGAACCCAATCCGAATATGGCTGCAGTAGTTATCTTAATAGTTATCAGGCGATTGTTGTTGCTGCAGTTAGTGCGTGGATCGGCCACTTTATTCGCCAGTTAAATTTGATGCCATTTAACGGGCTGCGGCAAATGGAGACGTTTGCCCTCTTGTGCCGTAAATCCATTAAATTGCCCCAAATTAAACTAAACTAAAATGCGGAGAAAAGGGCTGTGAAAAAAATTGAAACGGGATGTGTGACAAAACGGTTTAAAACTTGTAAATAAACTGTTGGAATGAGAGCGGCAATTACACATGGAACAATAACTCAACTCGAGCCGCAACCCTCGGGCTGCAAGGGTTGTACGTACGTTTCTCGAGGTGCCTTTATAATAATGCATCTTCAAGGTGCCGGGAAATGCCGCTGACAGACACAGGACTGCCTACAGCAGATCTTCACTATATATACATATCCTCTGACAGAGTGATGGAATGGGCGGGATGATATGCAGACCCGAGCCCCGATCCGCAGTTATTCCCTCATTCCCGCGATGACGGCTTGTCAGTTGACAATCAGCAAGTTGGCATATTAACCGTGTTAATTACTCACTGACGGCATAACTCTGTCATGTATCCGGCAGATAAGTAGAGCAGATGTTGCAGTTAATAACCGAGTGGAGAAATTGCCTGGAGAGTGCGTTTTGTTGAAGCAAACTGAGCCTATGGATAAATTTTATTGCAGAGTGGGCACCAAACTAATAAAGTTCTACAAATATGAATAGAATCGTTGCAAAACCAATCCCAATGATTTTACATTGAGTAGAGATTTTGTAGGAAATTATAAATAAACTACAAAAAAATATTAAATAAATATTTTCTCAAGAGTTAAGATATCTTCCACTTGCAATACATAGTATCAAATCTGCTAGTACATTGTGTATGCATTTTAATTTCGGTTGAAAAGCTTTAAAGATTGTCAGTTGATTTAAGAAAACTTTTTTCATTAGGTATAAAATTAAAATTTTAAATATTAATTTTGACAATTTGTTAACAAAACCTTAAGATCTCTCTGTCGCACCAGCCAAAGATCTTTTTTCGCTAATCGAATTTGAAATCTACATTCCATTGTTTTATGGCCACCTGGCCAATGTAAAGATGTAAATGACATTTCCAAATCGAAACCAGTTCAAACATCCATCACGGCGAGTCGCACAAAAAGCAAATGAGCCACAAGCAGACCGGCGGACAAACAATAACAATAACCGAAGACACACTCAGAACTCAGCGGGTGTCCGTCATTAAAAAGATGACAAAGCGATGTCAACAGGAAATTTTTTGATTAACGACTAAAATGCCAGAGAGCCAAGCGATCGGGCTCCGCGATCGAGCCGCGTTGAGTGGAATCGAAATGGAGACAACATGACCAAAAACCGAAATAAGTTAGCCAGAAAAAAGAAGAAAAAGCTAGCGATAAAAAACCGACGAAACCAGGCAGCAAAAATTTGTTGAAGGTAAAATATCAATTTAAAAGGCAATAAAAATATTTCATTGCTATGGATCAGATCAGGCTCCGCTGGCCGCGTCGATACTCCGCTTCGATTTCGAATTAAAATTAAAAGATTATGACGATAATAAACTTGACTAATCATTTTTATTACAGCCAGCCCCATCTGTTGCCAAGAAAAATCTCGGAAACCGTCTTCGGTTTGTTTAGTTTTTTCCCAGAACCCCGATCGAGATAAACCTCGGAGGGGAGATGATACCCAAAAGAAAACTCAACGACGGCTTATTAATTTTTCATAACTTAAATACATATATTTATTTGTTCTTCTCAATAGATTCACTTTTATTTGCATTTTTTAGTTTTGTTTTTTTTTTTTGCCTGGGCTTGCGTAATAAATTATGAGACTATGCTTAATGCTTACGAACAGAGAGGGATACTTTTCGCATCCGTGTATAATTTAATTGTGGTAATCAATACATGTACGATCGCTCATAGACTTACTTATCGCTAGGGGTTAATCCTTCCGGAGAAGTGAAATTAGAGTGTGTAGGTGTGTGTTCTTTTGTGGGATTGTCGGGGATTGTCCCCTCGGCTAACGACTAAATTAACTATGAATGTTAGATATCTTTTGTGGTTCTCTCATCTGTGATATGGAAAGCATTTTGCAGGGGCTTCTGTTGGGTTTCCCCCTTGGCCGCCGCAACCGTAATTTGTATTTCGTTTTTACATTTAATATCACAATTTCTCATATATTTTTTTTCGATTTTTTTCCATTTTTATTCCTAACCCATTCTCGAAAGCAAAGCGTTTGGATTTCGAAATGTTTGTTTTTAATAATAATAAAGTGTGTGTGTGTGTGAGTGAGTGTGTATATATACGACGTATGTACAAGAAGTGGAAAATAAATCTAATTTACGATTAGTAGGAAACAAAAGCCTGCGCTCGGCGTTCGCATCTAAATTTATAGCATGTCATATTATTGCACATTCCAAATAAATTATTAACATGTATGCGTATGCGTGTGTCTGTGTGAGGGGTTTGGTTATAATATATCATATATATATATATTTATATATACGTATGTACACATGTCTCGCTTAGGTACCTATTATTTTTATATTAGCATATACCTTAAGATTTGCTTTAAATTCGAATTTTGATTTTACTACGCCTTCTCTGTCTTCGGATTCAGCTGCCTCGGATTCGGTTTCGGGTTTGGATTTATATTCCGTTTTTAGTTCTGTGGACCATGAAACGCTATCAGTCTCTCAATACCAAGCAGCCCTTGGTTCCATCTGCAGATCTTTCGACTTTTTCAGCTGGAACCCAAATCGCTTTTGATGCATCTTTGGATACGTTTCATGATCCCTCCTTAGTTTGGGTGTACGAAATTCTCCGCTAACGCGCCGGATCATAAAAAATTGTTTATGAAAGTGCTCGACGGCGGAACAAAATCATCGTTTGCAGTGGGGATTCGTTTTCACTTTTCATTTGGAACAACAATCAAATAATATTTTTGTGGGCAACAATTTATAAATATAAAGATTTGTGTACACGACTGATCTTCACCCCTCATTTCGCTCTAAATCTTGAGATCATTTCATTGCGAGAATCGATTGCATCTTGACTGAGTCTGGTCTGCGATCGCCAAACATTTTCTGGGAGCCAAGTGATCTTGATCGCTGTGTAAGCGATCTTGATCTTAATCGTGATAGTTTAGAGTGTTTACTTATTCGCGATCATCGTTCCACTCACTCATCTGCAAATGGAGAGAGCAAAAGGAAAATGTTTGGTTAGCTAATGTGAATTGGTGGTTTGAGGTATAAATAGGATGGGATAAGGGTTGGATAAGATGATATTTAAATGAAATGAAAAATAATATTCTCAACTAAAAAATACAAAATATTTAAAGAAACTATGTAATGGATAGGATGGGATAGGTTAGGATGGGGATTGGAAGACTTACATACTTTACGGCACGATTTCTGAAGGTTTCTTGCTCCATGTCGCGGATTTTATGAGTTAGCATGTGTTGCTTCAGGTTGCCCTGCAAAATAAAATGGAAAAAGGAAATTTTTCATCAGTTTACTGGTATAAATTTCGTTCTAAGCGTAAGCCTCATTTGCTAACCCCCCATTTATAAAATTTTGATTTAATATTGATTTTAAGATTTCTTCAATTGAATGAAAAAATTATTTTAAATCTCCCAATTTAATATTAATATTTCTTTATCAGTGCCCTATAAATTCCCCGTAAGTATACTCTTTAAACTCATTTGCTAACCCCCCAAAAATAGAACTTTGATTTAATATTGATTTTAAGATTTTTTCAATTGAATGAAAAAATTATATTATATCTCCCAATTTAATATCTAAATTTCTTTATCAGTGCCCTATAAATTCCCCGTAAATATATAGCTTCTAAACTCACCTTGGTTGTGAAGCCGCGATCGCAGATGTTGCACTTGAAGGGCCGCTCCTTGGTGTGGCTCCTGTAGTGGATCTCCAGCGCCGAGTGGCAGGGGAATGTCTTGTAGCAGATGCCGCAGGTGGTGCTGCCGCGCACTCCGCTCAGCGCGAGTGGGTTAAACGGTGCCGCTGGCATCACGGACTGGGCGATCTGGTTCATGGCATTGCACATGTTCTGGGTGGTGGCGGGCGGGAAGAGCGGCAGGTTGGGGAACATGCCGAAGGGCGGGCGGGCGCCCATCAGCGGATTTGGCGGAGGTCCTGGGGGACCAGCTCCCTCCGTTCGCTGATTTGGCTGCGGCGGCGTTTGACGCTGGGCTGCTGCCGCTGCTGCTGCTGCGGCGGCTGCTGCGGCGGCCTTCTGCTGCGCCTCGGCTGCCTCGCGACGCAGTTGCTCCTGGTGCTGATGCAGGGCGGCCATCTGCTGGTGGTGATGATGCTGGGCAGCCGCTGCCGCCGCCACTGCCGCCTGCTGTTGCATCAGATGCTGGTGCTGCTGCTGCAGGTGATGCTGCAATCCGGGCGGCAGGCAATCAATGCCCACCGTGGGCGGCAGGGGCGAGGTGAGCAGGGAGGCGTGGCTAGGACCACTAGGACTTCTCGGCAAACTGACAGTAGGACTCACTGGCGGCTTCTCCTTGGGCAGCGGCGATCTAGAACTCGATCCCGAGGTGGGAGCAGCTCGTGGGGTTAGATCCAAAGCTCCTTGGGAAGCCTCTGATCGAGCGGGCGATGAGCTGGGCTTTTGGGCTGAGGGCGAGGTGGGTGCCGAATGGGAACCCACCGACCCATGACCATGACTCGAGGCGGAGGAGCGAGGTCTCACCGGATTCGTGTTCACCACACCAGTGGCATCGATCCTCAGCTTTTGCTCGAAAAGCAGGGACTTGAAGTCATCACCTGAACGCGGTCTGTCGCCCTCCTGCTCCAGATGGCTATTCGAGAGATGCTCTGAGGAAACATCATCGTCGTAGTCCTCGCCACAATCCATGTTGTCATCCAGATCGCCCTGCGATGACTCCGAACCCAATGCTCCATTGTGGCCGCCATGACTACCTGGATTACCAGGAGGAGCTCCCGGCATCGCTCCAAAATGAAAAGCGGCCGCTGCGAAGGGATTCATAAAGTGGCCCGGCATCATCGAGGGCGGCGGATCCCTGATCTCGGCCGCCTGAATCTGCTCCGGCGTCAGATCCGTGGGCTCACCCGTGTGCAGGCGAATGTGCTGCTGCAGCACCAAGGCATTCGAGTACTTCTTGTGGCAGACGGGACACTGGTGGAAGTTCCTCATCGGCGGCCGAATCTTGTGCACCGCCATGTGGGTCTTTAGGTTGCCCTTGGTGGTGAAGGCCCTGCCGCAAATCCGGCACTTAAAGGGTCTCTCTCCCGTATGAGTGCGATAGTGCATCTGGAGGGCACTCTTGCAGGACAACACTCGATCGCAGACGACGCACTGGTTGGGATCGCTGATCTTCTTGTTCTTCATCAGCTCCTTGAGCTTCATGGTCTCGCAGGTATTGGAGACCTCGATGAAGTTCTCCCACGAGTTGTCGTTGCTGTGCGGTCGCGGCAGCAGGGCGGCCATCTCGTGCTTGATGGGATTGAAGAACGGTGACCGGGCCATGTGGTGCGGGTGGTGGTGCGGTGGTGGTTGCGGCACTCCTGGGGGGAGAGCCCCTCCCGCCGGCGATCTCACGGGCGAGTGGTGTTCGGGGGACAAGGTCTTGGCGGTGGTAAAATTGAGGGGAAAGCGGTCGGCGAAGAAATCCTCTCGCGGCGGCAGTTGTCCCGGCGTGGGCAGGTGATCCAGGTGCGACTGGGAGCCCGGCGAGGGCTGCGGATGCATCAGGGCAGCCGGTTGGATGGGCTGAACCACTGGTGGGTAGCCCAGGTGACTGTGACGGTGGTGGTGATGCTGCGGATGGTGGTGCTGCGGTGAGCGGTGCTCCGGTGAGGGTGTCCTGCGTGGCTCCGTTCGGTGATCCTGCTCCTTCAGCTGCTCCTGCTCCTGCTCCTCCTCCACGCGCTCCTCCTTGATGCGCACCTCCAGGGGAAGAGGCTCCGGTTCGGGCTCCGAGCACTCGGCATTCTCCTGCTCCTCCTCCCGCTGATCCTTCTCCTCTAAAGGCTCATTCTTGACCTGCCGCGGCTGCTCCTCCTCCCCCTCCTCCTCCTCTGCCAGTTGCGGCGAGGGCTTCCTCAGATCGGTGGGCAAGTCCTGCGGGAAAAACTGATGCGGAGCACCACCCAGACTCTTGAGGATCTCCATGGGCGGGCGGTAGAGATTCTGCAGGCCAGGAAAGGCGGGCCCAAAGGAGGCGGGGCCGGAGGCGGTGGGCGGGGCCGGCGAGTGGGTGGGCGAGCTGTCCGTGGGCGACATTTGGTCGAGCAGCGGCGGATGGAACTTGTCCATGTGCTCGGGAATGGGCGTGGCATTCATGGGCACGTGGGGGAACTTCTGCGCGTGCCGCTGGAAGTGGACCTTCAAATTGCCCTTAGTGGTGAACCGGCTGCCGCAGACGTTGCACTTGAAGGGTCTTTCCCCGGTGTGCGATCTAATGTGGATCTGGAGGGCGGAATCGGAGCCAAAAACCTTGCCGCAATACCGGCAGCGGTGCTTGAAGAACGGCTCATTGCGACCCTTTCCCTCGCCCGTTTTCTCACCAAAAGCAAAGTCATCGGCCATGCTGTTGGCCAGGATGCCCTGAGAGGCGGAATCCAACACCTCCTGGGCGCGCTTCTGCAGCAGATCCAGGGAATTGGGCTCCGGATTCAGATCGTCGTGGTGGGTGATGATGCTGGAGGCCAGATCGGAGCCAAAGGGCAGCGGTGTGTTCTCCATTTCCTTCAGCTTGGCCAGCGCATCCTCCGCCTCGCGTTTCTTGTGATCCAAACTCGTCCGGCGATTTGGCTGGGACTCCTGGTCAGCTCCCTGCTCCCTTCGCCTCTTCAGGGATTCCCCGCCTGGCGAGGCGGAGGAGGAGGTCTCTCTCAGAGGAACTCCCGCATTTATCAGATGCTGACGCGCCTTGGCCTCCGCCATGCGGGCCTCCGCCTTCTGGCGCAGCTCCATGTCGGCAATGCGCTCCTCCTCCTCGTACGTGTCGGTCTCGTGCTCTTGGTCCTGATCCTGATCCTGCTGATCCTGATCCTCCTCCAGCTCCTCCTCCTGCTTGCTGGCCTGGTTGAGGGCCAGCTGGGACTGCAGCTGCTGGATGAGTTGGATCTGGAAGAGCTGCTGCTGCTGCAGATTGAAGAGGGTCTGCTGGAGGAAGGCCAGCTGCTTCATGGCCGCCTCGTTGTCGGCTCCGCTGGAGCCATTTGCAATGGTCTTGGCCGCAAACTGGGCAATGGCCATCTGCATGTTCTGGATGGCCTCCAGGGTGACCGGAGCACCGGCTGCTCCGGGCAGAGAAACCTCTGTGGAGGGCAGCGCACTGATGGGCGCCTCGTTCTCGTCGCCCATCTCCACATCCACCTCGATGTCCTTCTCCTTCTCGGAGGCGGACGGACGCTCGGTGGCCGCCTCCTCGGCACTGGCCTCCGCCACCGGGGAACTGGGCATGGAGCCACTGGCGTTCGGCTCCCGCTCCTCGGAGCTGCGTGGCTTGGTCATCGCCACCCGGTTGTTGTTATCCTCCACGGGTTCAATCTCTGATTTCACCTCGAATTTCTTGTCGTTCTGTTGGCTCTCTGGAGTGCTGGGATGCTCCTCCTCCGGCTCGGGACTCCGGCTGGGACTGGCCGTTGTGGTGGCCGTGGTCAGTGGCGAGCAGCCACCATTCTCCTCCTGATCGCTACCGGTGTCTGCAAAAAAAGCAAGCGACATTCCTAAAATTATTTACGTTTCCTTTTCAACAGTAATAAATTTAATTTCTAGGCTCCAACAAGTAACAACTTTTTCAAATAAATATGGATAATTAATATGAATTTCTTTAATGAAACATAAATTTACACAGAAAAAATTGTCAAAAGATCAGATTGATATTTTTTCAAGCTCAAGATATTCATTTTGATATGTATAGAGTTTATGTTTTCTTTTTTACAAAAATTGTTCAAAAAATATTACATTTGGTATTTTAAATGAGTATTTTTATAACTCTTATGAAATGATAAAATATCAAGTTGATATGTTTGCATCATAAATATTACATTAATCAATAAAATACTGTAGAAATGATCCTAGAAAAGCCAATTTAATTATTTTATAAATTGTAAGAAATCTGGAATACCTATTTGTAGATATAATAGTAAGGCAAATATTTCTTATTCATTTAGTTGGCAAATGTGAAGCTGATTTTCATACGTTTTCTCTGCATACCAAAGAAGCACATAGGCTGAAGTCAAACCAAAATAGTCAGAAGCTGGTTGAGATTGCTGCCCATTTCCCGATAACTCAACTACCTGTTAACTGGCCCCTGCCACCCCCTCTCCACCCCTTCTGCATATGACTTAATCGCCGGCAATTGTTCATTGCAATGCGTTAAAGTTGCTGGCGGGTGTGGGGATGTTGCTGCTGTTGCTATTGCTGTTGCTGTTGCTGCTGCTGCCAACTGAATGCAATTACATTTCTTGTTGAAGCATGTGTTCTCTCTCCTTTTCCCTCGGCCGCAGCTGTTTTTTTGTTTTCTGCCCACAATTAGTCTCCAAGTCGAGCGCCGGCAGTTGCAATTGTTGCTGCTGCTCGTGTTGCTGTTGCTGCTGATGTTGCTGCTGGCCGACTGATGCTCACTTGTTGCCAGGTGAGCTGTCCAAGGGGAGAAAGCAGTTGACAGCCGTTTGGCCTGGTCCAGTGCCTCTGACTCTGCCTCTGACTAATTAATCGCGCCGAGCCTAAAAAGCAAACCAAGTCAAAGATTGGTCCACCAGCAACAGCAACAGCAACACCGGCAACAGCAACTTTTGCCGCACACGCACATAAAATATAATTTATGATAACTCAGAGCCAACGAACTGGGGCCCCACTCGTTCGATATATATAATAAAACATATTTCTGCACAAATCAAACGAGTTGGGCGAGTTTTCTGTTTTCTGTTTTCGTCCACAAAAGATACACAGATACGGATACTCAGATACAGATACATGGACGTCGAAGTACAAAAAGATATGCAGATAGAGCGCCTGGCGACTATCAGCGCCATTTGCATATCGATCGCATTAATATTATTTGTATTATTACTTTTCGGAACAGAATTCAATCGAAAAAATCTCTTTTCGCCGCCCGAGAGATTTAATTAAAAAAATCGCAATTGCAGTTCAAAAACGAAACCGCTCGGCCGAGGAGTTATGATTATGATTGCCGATAAGTAAAGTGTATTTTAATTAATTGAAATTAATTATAATGTTGCCATAAACCTTTCAGGCAGCGGCGGCAGTGAAAAAAACACACAGATGCAAAACAAAACAACTTCCAATTATGACGAACATAAAATTGTCTCGAACATGGTTAAGTCATTTTGCAGTTGGTAATAAAATTGTTAAATTTACAATAACAATAAACGCGGCTGGTTTATTGTGTTGGTGTTGCCCCAAAGACAGGGAGATATTGCCCCTCGTCGGAGAGGCCATTGCCTTAGCCCCCGATTCGATTTCAATTTGGATTGGGATTTTGATTTTTAGTTTGCCGTATTTTAGTTCCTCGGACGCGTGGGCGCCCAAAACAAAATATCCAAACATTTAACTAAGTCTATATATATACCGATTCTACCGAGTGTGTGTGCTGGTGAGCCGTTATAAGATTTATTTTTTGTCTACCAAAACCGTATTTTGTTCTACTGACAATCGGCGCGGTTCATTCCGCCCGTGCTTTCAGATTCTGTATCTGCCAGATAAATAAATATGAAATTGTGAAACGAGACGAAATTATATATTTCCCATTGTTGAAATACACAAACCGCTTCTATATAAATTAAATCGTGCAAGTTTAAAGGTGGATTAAGTCAAGCCATAAATTCGGCCGCGTCTGTTGGCTAAATTCGAATGAATTATTCCCGCTCCTCATGCGCAACTAAAGCGAATAAATCGCTCGTGTTGGAACGATTGAAGAGTTCTTCGGGTTCTTTGGCACCTCCCCACCCCGCCCCAAAATACTCATAATTGCTAACCCAGTCTGTCCATCAAACCCATTAGCCAATGTCAACTTTTTGGCATTTTATGTGTCCAAATATTTTCAACAAAATTTCGCCGCAAATAAATTTTGCTTTGGTTTCTCTCAGCTTTCAGCAAATCAATTTTTTACTGGTGAGAACGGGTAAAGTAAATTAATTGCAATACATTTATTTCTAGGAATATGAAAGTATAAGTTAACAAAGCACACATTTAAATTTATTTTTTCATTGAGATATAAATTTATGGGGAGCCCATTGATTCCATTCTTTTTTGGAAATTTATTATTAACTCACATAAAAGCAAGATTTATTTTAAATTGATTAATTCCGAATGTATCATTTTTAAAAGCTATTTTAATGTTATATATATGTATTTAAATATTTTTTAATTTATAATTTTTTAATCTACTTTTCTTTCTGTGTGCTGAACTCGAAATTCCCTTGGAATCGTACCTCTACCTCGACATTTTTCAGTTCATTCCTCTAGCACTGACTTTTGCATACGACTCGACTTTAGTTCTGGACTGACTTTCAATTATTCCATCGTCATATTCAATATGCAAATCGCTGCGAACCAACCGTGAGCCCGCTGGCCTGAGGTGAAACAAATGTTCAGCCAATTGGAAAATGCAAAATCAAAAAAGAAATGCGAATAAACTACACGAAGTATAGGTACCTAAAAAAAATAAAATAAAAACAACAGAGGCAAATCGAGTGTGTGGCATAATTGAATAATATATCCAAGTCCGGTCTGATCGGATTTGGCTGCCATAGGTCACAATGGAGAAGCGCAGCAATTGAATTCCACATCAAAGTTTTAGGCATACATTTTTAATAGGGACACTCTGTAGCAAACAAACAAAAAAAAGAAGCAAAATCGCATAAATAAAAATAATTAAATAATTAATGTCATTAAGTTATGCGAGCGAGACTTCGATTACAAAGCAAAACGACACAAATTGATGAGCATTTCCATATTCACAGAATTGGCTTTGTACCGACCACATTGCCTGCTAAGGTATATAGTCCATATAAATCATATGGAAATAAGCGCCAACTCACTGCGAATCTGCTTCGATTTTCATTTTTTGCGATATTAATTTAATTTATTATCCCGCACTAATGAGTTAACATTTATTAATGCCCGAAGCAGCAACAACACCACATGCGAACGCACAACTTATATACCTATATGCCATCATATGCGGTGTATAAATAAAAACCGCGCCAAACAAATTGATAAAGAGAAAAAAATATCCTCATCTTCACGCACACAGGCAAAGTGTTTATCACCTTTTTAAAGCTTATGGGCAGCAATTTTCAAATTTAATGTGAACTCATTTGTAATTATGGATATAAGCGTATGAGTGCGTTTAAATATATACACACACTTGTGATTGGGAAATGAAATCCAATGAAAAATCCACTACATTTTGATGATAAATTTTAAAATTAAAGGAAAATATATTTTTGTATTGAAAGACAGAGTGAAATTTGAGTAACTTGATTTTTGGAAATGTTATAACCAATATTGCCTCACTTCCCTTTGTCGTAAAATATATTTGATTCACCAGCCTTAAAATTTCAGAAAATATAATTAAGTTCGCTGGCATGCAAATGTCCGAAAATCGAAGCTTTCAAAACCAATTAAAGAAACACGCCTGCCGAGAGGCCTCCAAAAAATAAACATAACACCGCGACAAACTCATTTCTGTGCCTTTCCCAAAAGTTATTTCTTCTATATAAAATGTGCCGAAGCCATATTTAAATCATATCGTTTTTAAGTTGCTCCATTAAAACGAAATCGATTTTTGATTTATCATAAAAAACAAGATCGCCAGGGGGCGCGGGGGGATTGGCCAATAGTAGCTGTTAACGTTCGAATTAAATCAAATCGAAAACTGGAAATGCAAAACCGAAGAAATATAGTTTATATGTCTATAAATCGCCATATAATCGGGGGGAAAACTGGTGCAGTCGCAGCCATAAGTTTCTAAATTTGAATATACCATTTTTAAAGACATGATAAGCCATAAATGGACTTCCTACGATTTTTGCCTCCGATGCCACAATTATTAATGTTTGGTTTCCATTTCAAAGTCTTATCAGTCAAATGGAAAACGGTTGGGACCAAACTTGTTGTCAAAGAAATTCGAGAAGTGGCGTTGGTCAGGGAAAACAACAATGAAAAATTTGTCAACTAATTTAAAATGGTTCAGTTATGCATAAAAATCGTTTTCGTTTGGAAAATGTTGTTTTATGTTCCGCTGATGGGAAAATACTTTCTATTTTGTGGTTTTTGATTTTTTTTTGTGTTGAAAACTTTTACAAATGACAAATAGGATAACAAAATATAAAAGGCAGCCGCCACGCTGTTTATTGTACATTTTCTTCTTGACTTGTCTCCGAAATATCTGAATTTGTGTCTGTTTGAAATTTCAATTATGTCAAAGACAATTTAGAACATTTATTTTCTAGCGAGTTTCTGTTTTTTTTACTATTTCTTATTGAATGGATGGTTTTGAACTCACCTTTGTCGGCGCTGCGAGCGCGATCCTTCAGCTGTTTGACAATGCCATATTTCACTGTACCAAATTGTATCATTTTATTGATGGTCTCCTGGTGATTATCCTTGAAGTCACTACGCATCGCACACAGAACGTTGGACAGGTGATTTTTCATCAAGAGAACTTTTGGCTAGCACTTTGTGTGAGTGTGTTTATTTTTTGGAAATATTTCTTAACTTTGCTTGATCATTGCACTGTGTTTTGTTTTGCTTTTTGTGTTTTGTATTTTTGGTAAAAAATAACTAAGTTTTAGTTACTTGTAGCACTTTTGTGTTTTGCCGTCGGCAGTGGGAAACGCGTATTACCGCTGGCCTTTGCGCGTATTATTCAATTTATTTATCGCATTTAGCTGGTGGCCAAAACTACAGCTGCCCGTTGATTGTCATCGTTAGTGGGATTTTCGCGGCACTTAAGGGAAAAACTTGGGTGTGTGGCTCGCAGGAAAAGTCGAAAACTCGCTAAAGGCTGAACTGAGTGCGCGTTACGCATACGCAACGTGGGCCGACTGCGGCACTGAGAGAAAACGGAGGGCTCGCTGCGAACGTTCAGCAACGCGCGTCCAAACAAGAGTGACACAAACAATAACAGCCGCCACGAATAACAGCCGCCGCAGCTCGTCGGGCGCTCGGCTTTGCTCGGCTCCTCGTTTCCGACTTCGTGCGGAACCGGTTGTGTGTGTGTTATTACATCCTGACAATCACTATCACTCAGCCAACCCACCTTATGCTCACTCACTCACACACACACTCGCACGCACGCTCTCCCGCTCGCATTTCATATTATTTTTCATATGCGCCTCTCGCTCGCTCTCATCATAATTTTTATTAAATTGCTGTTACTGTTACTCTTGCCGGCCCGCTCACTCCCTTGTGTTTTCCGTTTTTTTTTTCGGTTCTTTTTTTTTTGCCTCGAGGATGCTCAGCCGCAGTCGCCGTTTTTACCTGAGAGACGTTTATGAAACTTGTTCGGCGAATTATGAGCTGCTCTCTCTCGCTCTCTCCCCCACTGTTCGGTTGGGAGAGGCGAAAAGAAGCAGCAGCGAGACTTCCTTCCGCCTTTTGCGGCTCACCTTTGCGCCATTGTTGTTGTAATGCCCACACGCCCCGTCTCGCTCGCTCTCTCGATTAATAATTTATCATAATTTATAGGAGTGGGGTAGGGGAACCCCCGCCCCCTGGGCTAGTGGCCCTTGGCAGCCAGCCATCTCGCTCGCTCTCGCGCCAAAGAGCCTGCCATTTGTTGCGCCCTCTCTCTCTTTGATTCCCTCTCTCTCGCTCCCGCATTTGCCATCTCGCTCGACAGCGCAGTTATGAGCGTTGTTGTTGCCTTTTTTAATTTCGGTTTATAAGATTTTGTGTTCTTCGCTATTGTTCGTATAAAAACCCCCCTTTTTATCGGGGAATTCTGACTTGGGTGACTTCGCTTATTCGTCAGTTCATCGGGGTTTGTGCCAGTGTGTGTGGGGTGCTCATGTGTGTGTATGAATATTATGAACCATTCATCAAAATGTTTTTAGCTTTTTTCGGCTTTCTGACTTTTGGGCAACTCCCACTTCTTTAATTATTTTCTTTCCCTCTCTGCTGATGGGGAATTTTTAGCATTTCAAGTCGGGGCATTAAAAACTTTCGTACCACTTCCCATTTTAATTGCAAATGTTCTTTTGTCTGCCTGGAACACCTGGCGATATCAACTTTTTGGTTCCATTTTTTAGCTGCACAATAGGAAACATTTGGTAAATGAGTTATTATTGAGTGGATGATTGTTGTGAAGGCTTTTGGATTCGATTGTGAGTAACCTTCAATTAGGGAATGTCGATTGTTTAAGGAAAATCAATTAAACAATTGAATGGTTATCATTTGTAAACAGATTCGGCCGGCTTAGAAAACATTTTATTGTTGGAAACTAAATTGATTTTGAATAAGTCACAAAACATTCATGAAGATAAGTTGGTGGACAAAAAATGTATGTAATTTTAAAACTAAAAACATTTTGTGGTTTGAAAAATAGAAGCTAAAATAAAGTTTTTCTAGAGGTACTTCTAAGCGTTTCTCTTACATCCTTTAACATTGTTTGTTCTAGTGTTTTTGACTTTTAAAAGTTGAGTTCGTTGATGGTATTTGACTGGTATTATAACTTAAGTTCCTTGGAGTATCAAGCTTAGAACTAGAATATCTTAATTACAGTTAATTAAGAAGATTTAACATTACTGTAAGTAACTATTAAGGATCTAGGATAACTTTACGAGCGAATATTCCATCCCGTGGAGCTACTTGAACCCAGAAATTGACTTTATTACGGAACCACCAGGAATGCGATAGAATCATCTGAGAAAGAGAGGGCACGAAGGTCCTCGGGAAAAAACAACAATAAGCTGAAATAAAAGGAGGCATTAATAATGCTGCCTGCGTCGACGTCGCTGCCGCCAAGTGGGCGGGGGAGGGGCTGTCATAAATTTTTGGGGAGCGAGCGAAATCCGAAGAGAGAGCGCCAATAAAATGCAGAAAACGGGAGGAGTAGGGAATAATACATATTAAAAGACGGCAAAAGAAAGACGGCAAGTGGAAAAAAGTGAGGAAAGTAGGTGGAAAAGGGGTGGGAGAGGGGCGGAGAGGGGAGAGCCACCTTGCGCACCAGTAAGAAAAAGCCACTAACACCAGCGGAGAGCGCGGCAGTGTGAGTCTGTGTGCGAGAGAGGGTTTGTTTATGTACAGGGCAAATACATAATTCATAACGCTCATATTCGCTCATTTTGCAGCAGCTTCGACCAACGAAAAAGCGGATCTGCCCTTTTCATATCTGCCATCATATTCGCACCCACACCAGGGCAGTCCTCACACACACACAGCAATCGCTCTCACACCAACACACCACCCCCCACCACCCCCACTCATACATTGATAGCGACAGCGCAGACAAGTTTTTGATAGACTCTCATAATCATAACGAAAACAACAACAGCGTATCGCTGCCTCTCGCTCTTCGACTGCCTACAGGTTGCCTTCTCTCTCCCTCTCCCTCCCTCGCTCTCTCTCTCGCACATATGCGCGCTCTGCGCTCATTTTCGAAATGCCTGCTATTTCTGTCGCACTCTCGCACACAGACTCTGCTAACAGCGATGTTCCTCTCTGCTGTTACTGCTCAGAAGTCTTATACGCCCTTAACATGGCTGATTTCGAAAATGTTAAGGTCTTCGAAAGGGGGTTCGCCGTGTAATGGGCATGTTATCAAGTCAATATTCTGTTATTTGAGTTTTGAAAATATTATTTTTGTCCTTTCTTACAACAAACTACATTTTTCTCCTATATGAATATATATTTGTTCGTAAAATAATTTTTTTTTAAATAACCTTAATTAAACGATTTTCCCTTTGTCATAAATAATAACATAAATGGTTATTTTATTTTGTCTTCATCACACTTAATTACACTGTTTTTGGAAAAATTCTAAATTGCATTAAAATAATTTATCTTAAATGTATATTATTATCTTTAAAATAAAATGTTTAAATGGCTTATTTAACAGCTCTTGCTAATTTTTAATTTAGTTTAAGTGGACTTAGATCACTATTTATTTCCTGACACATTTTATACACGAGTTTCGCGCTTTTATGTCTATGCAGATGGCAAAGCCATCGTTAAATGCTTGCGATGGGCATGAGATATGGATAGATTTTGTCTAGCTATGAATAAACAGTCTTCAAAATCCATTAGCTTCATAACCATAAACAATGGAATGGATATTTTTTATATTTATAAGCCAAATCTCAATAAGGTCAGCTATAGGATTGCTTAATTAACTTAAAATGCGACATAATTTCAGATTTTTTTTTCTTGGAAAGAGGAAGATATCTGTTGATATGCTTTTTAACCGCCAAAGTCGTCAATATTCGGCTTTTTGATTTATTTAGAATTACGATTTTGTAACAAAAAATCTATCGATGGATTGCGTCGATCTAATTTTATAAGAAAATAAACATTGACAGAAATAAACAAAAAATAACATTTATTTTTAATTATTTCCACACAGTTATAATTATTCCTGGCACGTCCATTTAAATATAATATTTAAAAATTTGTTTTTAACATTTAAAATAACCAAAGAGGTGATTAGACCGTAAAAAATATATTGGTGGCTCGGAAGAACCCTTATCCGGGTTCCAAACACATACTTAAAATGTTGATTCCGTCTACGACGTCTTAACTCCCCATCAATTATTCATTGCCACCCCCCTCCATTGTAAACAATAATCAAAAATGCAATCGGTAAGCTCCGGTTTTGTCACCCCATTTCTAAAACCCTTTTTCTCTCTTTTCTATTCACCCTGGGGCGTTAATCTTTAGCCCGAATTTCAATATCGGTCTGCGGTCTCTTTGTTGCCCTAATTTAAAATCCACAACGAAAACAACAGCAATATCCGAAAGTAAAAAGAAAACAGAAATTAAATGCAACTAAAATAAAATAAAAAACGGAATTACTTCCGTTCGGTTTCGGATCGGTTTCCCCGGGCAGATTTATGGGGCAGGGCACTCAGAGGATCCTGCCGGCGGTTGCCTCAAAGTCCCCGAGGAAAAGCGGCTAAGGAAAACCCGGAGGCGGAGGTAAATCGACCCGAAAGTGAATGGGAAAATGGAATGCGATGAGCATTCCAAGTGTCCGCCGATCTTCGGCATAATTATTGGCCACTCGCGGAGCTAAAAGTAATTGTTTTGGGCTTCGGTCACGTTCCTCACCGTTTCCCCCTTTCAATTACCGCTTGCGTGTCCTGGCAAAAGGATTCGCCGGTCGTTTGTTCTGGCCGCTCGCGCTTTTCACACTTGTCTCATTGCCGCTCATAAAAAATTATGGCAGACCAGCCCCTAATTTAAATTTCCACAGAACATTCGGCCAACTATATATGGCCATGTGAAGTTTTGAGGTCTAGAGGTGAGCAAGGGTCGTGAGTAGATATTTAAAGGAAATAAATAGCTTGAACTAATAAAAATATATTTTTTATATTTTTGAATTGGTAAAATTATTTAGAAAGATTTATTTTATTAAATTAATTCAATAAATAATTATGGTATCACCATGGTTTAGTCTAAGTATTATAATGTTAATTGATTAATTAATTTTAATAATTTTAGTTAATAGTTAAGTTGTCAACATGATTAAGTCTAAGTCCTATAAATATGTAATTTATAAAAGTATCTTATTTTACGTTTTGAGTGATCTTATATTATAGAAAAATGTTGATAAAAAATTTGTATTTTAATTTGATATTAACGTTATAAATAATTATTTATAAATAAAGTACTTAGTAATACAAATGTATTAGCCATTATTAATAGAAATAAATTGATTTACGATTTTCCGGTTTCAAAAGCTTATAGAGGATAGTATTTCTTTGGATATAACCTAAGGATCAGAATAGAAGCTCTTTCCTTATCACGAGCCCATCTCCATTTTAGTAAACTTCTGCGCATGCGTGACTTCATTTTGGGGACGTGCCTCAAAATGCGGGGAGATATTAGATGGGGGCTACGTGATCAGAGGGAGATTTCGGGGGAGTGTTGA